CTCCATTCTCGTTCTTCTCTCTCCCACCTCTATTCCCGCTCTTCTCTCACCGACATTACCTATCCTTCCACCCTCTCTATCCCACCGCGGCCGGCCAACTTTGTCCCTGCCGGATTTCTGGTCGTGCTGTCCAATTTGGGCGCTGCAGGGGCACTTGTGTCGACATTTACGACTGCCGTGCCTCACCACAGGAGGGGCGGCGCCGATACCGGCGCTGGTCGGTCGGGGGAGAGCCGCGGATGAAAGTACTCAGGGTTTGAGGCTTGACCCGTGGAAGGGAAATTGGGATGGTGATTTATGTTGTTAAAATTTGTGCAGTGGTACAAACGTTTAAAAATGATGCTCAGAACGTTAGGCATGAGTAAGAAAACGGGATATTGCGTATAGTGAGGAATTTATTTGGATGATGATATATGGCATCAGATGAGGGCAGGTGATTTTAAGGTTGAGTTTCATGCATCCCACTGAAGTAGCTGCAGGATGAAGTTGTCCGTTCGCCTTGCCAATGAGTCCGATCAAGTCCACCATGCCGGCTCGGCGCCGGGCTGCCGATGGGCCAAGTTGGAACGGCCTCTGTCGGCCTCGATGGATCGGCGGCCGGTTCATCTGCGCCGCACGTGGCTGAGGGGGGGGGGGGGCGGCCTGCCGGGCGCCAGTCGGCCCGTTTATAGCGAGCCGCTCGGCAGTCAGGCTGCTCTGCATTGCCGTTTTAGTGGGTCGGTCTGGTGCTGACAGGCGCCACGGTCATCGCGCAGCGATGTCCCCGCTGCCGAGGACGGTCCAATGTCCGCCGCCGAGGGTCACGGGTCGCGGCCACGTCAGGGCGGGACGGCCTGTTTTAAAGAGCCGGGATCGACAGAACGGTTGAACTCGGAAACGTCTGCTGTTTCATTGGCGCTGGTATTGTGACAAGTGTGTCGATACCCCGGCGTGATTGAATTGGTTCGGAAACGGCCCACATTCTTACCTCCTATGAATAGCCCATGAGGAAGTTTTATTTTGTATATTTGGTCGAAACGACGACCGTATCAGCAATCCATGAAAACGCTCCATCGCTGAGAATGCAATTTAACATTCTGCTAAGATGATCATGTCAACAGTAGGTACACAAATATGCAACATTTCAAAATATGCCTAGCACACTGCTTCACGGACATTTGCACTCATTTAACAAGTATGTTTATGAGTTCAAACAATCCAGGACCATCTTCCATCGCCCAGTTGTGACATTCATCTACAAACTGATAGGATAACAATCTCCCAGAAACGACGCCATTTCACACCATGTACCACCCGTGACGAGCCGCTAAAAATTCCTCGGCCCGTTTGAATACTACAGAGCTCGCGCTGTGTTTATATGGCAGCTCCTCGCGACGTCGTGATGACGTCACTGCCAGGGGCCCCCGGGGTCGTGACAAAAGACAGGCTGACAGAGCGGGCGGCGGTACCGGGGCGGGCTGCCGCGCCGGGCGACAATTGGAGCGGCCCCGCGTGGGGTGCGAGCCGACTCCGCAACCCGCTGTTTCTTCGCAGTGCCGGTTTCACGGAAATGTTTTTTGTTACGTAGGAACTGGTGTCGATGCATTGTTAGTCATGTTTAGCATTATATTCCAAGTAGCCGGATGTTATCCTTGCAATAATAGACTGGTCTAGATTACCAATGCAAGGAACAATAAATACAACAGAACATTGCTTAGACGTCACCGCGAGACATGCAATTTTTGCTTTCTTGTTCCACATTCCCACCTTCATCGTTCTTCTTGTCCACGCTACGCCCTTAGGAAGAAGCCACGTTTGCATAGTTGATCAGTCACCCATTGCTGATATGATCGTGAATGATGGTCGTGTAGGGAGACATTGTTTATAAACCAACGATTGCACGATGATTCGATGCCCATTCAGTATATGGACGTTAAATATTGGCTTTCTGTTACGGTACATTTTACCTATCTGCCTGTGGTACGGTACGGATGGGGGAAAACATGGGGTATACGCACGGAACATCTATGACGCTCCTTTCACCTTGTTCACTGTTCCGTTGCGCTATGTTACATATGTATAAAAAAAACATTCATTATAGATATTTTTGTTCAGTGTTCAAACTTGCATCCTATCCTGGGTACGTACACGATAAAAACAACATCCTTTGCACAATACGTACGCTTAGACAGTCCTCAATGTGCTTCCAGAAAATCGCATTCCATGCCTCATTTGATCGCATTACAGAGCTTGGTAAGCCGGAACTGCGGACACCGGTCTTTAGCGATCGCTATTTGTCAGTGAACGCATTTAGCTAATAGGGCCGGAGTTGCGTCAGAACGGCTGTTATCCATTCGACTTGCTGTCAGTGATACCGAAATGATCCGGCCAAGAATGGCACATCTCTGAGGCTTATTGCGATGGAATGCGTCACAAGGCGGTGCACAAAATATGGCAAGACGTGAAATTTGAAATGTGAAATGTCATAATCTCCCCAGGTTATGGAATAGCGGTGTCTTCTGTGACCTCTAAGGAGGACTTTGGTCCCAACACTGGTAAAATAAAGATTTCCTTTTGCAGGCTATGGCATATCTAAGTAGGCGTAACCCAGCATTACAATCATGATATCTAAGCGGTCTAACCCAGGACGAAAATTCCCTTTATATCTGCGCCTTCCGGACGGCGCTGCTTAGCGCAATTACGCATGCATTGCCGGTATTTTCTCAGCAATGCGTGATTAGATTTCCTGCCAGCCGGCGGCGGGGGCCGGTGGCGCCGGTGGGGGGGGGGGGGGGCAGACGGCAGGGGGTCTCGGCGGAACAGCGGTGATTTTTCTCACGGCCGGCCATCGATCTGCGGTCCGGCACCGGTGTGCTTTATTGATGGCCGACGGGCTGGCCCGCGCCGCGGACCGCTGGCCCACTTGGACGGCTCGTGCCCACACCGACCGGCAGCTGCAAAGTCGGGGACGGTGACGGCTGTATGGGTAAATTAGAACAGTCAGAGATGTCTAGTCTATCATATGCACCTACTGCAATTTAGCATTTGCAATATGCGTCCAACCTACCGGAATATCGTAATAGTCAGAAAAAAATACTTCGAAATCACCCTAGTGGATCATCCCATTCATAAATAAGAATTAACAAACTAATATCAGATGTCAAACAGTTGTGAATGCTGACTGATGCGGCTAAGCTAGTAAGTGTTAAAAATAAATTGGCAATGATCTTGGTTGTTGGGGCGATTCAGTGCGATACGAGAATGCCTACGGTACGCTATGCTTCACAATGGCGTTAAATGTTGCTCACATTTGCGCACAGGACTGATGACGGACTCATTTCATTGCGACATCAGAAATTGCATCAGATTGTTTAACCACGCAGTTTTGGCCGGCGTGACGCACATTCAAACATAGCAGACATGACTAATAATTGAATAGTGGGCTGCGGTGTTATTTCTGTACTTGGCATATTATCTTTTCATTTTGTGGTAGTGAGCATAGCGAAGCCTGCTTCTTTCATTTCATTCATTTCACTGAGTTCCAATCAAAAAATATGCTGGCGATAAGCTTCTGAAGCGCTTCGATCCGTCCATATTCCGTGGACGCTGCTTCCGGTTCAGGGATGATGAGGGACAGTCGCCAACTTTCCGCCGCACGTGAGGAGCCGGCCAGCGTACGGCTCTCTGCCGCCGCGAGTTTGGCTAATCCACCGGTGACCTTCTGTTGACCTCAGAGAGGTCCAGCGGCACCGAGCGACACCGAGGGAGGGGCCACCGCGGCAGATCAGTGCCGCACTGCCGCCTCCGCCCCCGCCCCCACCCCCGCCCCCGGTCCCACTCTGTTCCTCCCCTACCGTCGCGCCGCCCGCGCCCGTCGGCACCGACCTACCATAGTTTGAATTGGCTCCATCGCGAATGTCGCTGCATGTCTGCGTCGGTCCCGTCGTCGAGTCCGACAATACAAACGCCGCATTGCGTCGGGCAGGGGTGGGGACGGGTCGACTCGGTGACATGTCAGCTGTCTACGGCTAGTGCCTCACCGGTGGCACGTATCGATAAAACGCTCCTCCCCTGGCAGCACCGGAAGGACAGGGCGGACAGCGATAGATCGGTGCGATACATGGGGCTGTTAGGATGGTGGCAACATCGGACCTGGCGAAAATTGCAGCATGTTCAATGTTGAAACATCGGGGAGCCTGCTCTTTGGTCACAGCATCCGGATTTTGTTTTGACGAAATTGCTCGTTTGATAGCTTTTGGAAATAGCTCTATTCGCCTCCCTCAAAAGCTTTATTTTTGTAGATAATAGGTTGATTGCATACTTGCAAAATCGTGCTTTTAAATTTAATGTAAAGTTTCTTTTTGTTTAAGTTTGAGTTGCTATTTTTAAGTGCTTGCCCATTCTGCTTGTGCGCAATGTGCAGAATTAATTTGCATTTAACTGAAAATTGAAAACAAAATAGATCGCCATGTTTTTTCCACGATCCCAATGTCCCTGCATACTTGGAAAAAAACATTGTCGCCCATTAATCTCTGAAAAACTATGTTTATCCAGGTCTGGAGACTGCGTGCTCCCTGGCTCTGTGTGCTCTCTGAGCTACTGTGTTCGGTGTGCTCCTTAGCACAATCAGAGGTGCTCATCGGGTGCAGACAGGCGCAGCCTTCCCTGACGTCTTGGGGGTCTCTCTTCGATCCTGTATTCTATCCATTCTCTTTCATCCTACAGTACATATACCTCTCTGGAACTCACGTGCAACTTCAATGATCTGGGATGTGCTCCCCGGACGCTCCGCTGTCCGGTGTGCTGTCCTGGACGCGGTCGGTGCTCCCTGCCGTAGCCGGTGCTCCCTGCCGTAGCCGGTGCTCCCTGCCGTAGCCGGTGCTCCCTGCCGTAGCCGGTGTTCCCAGCGCCGTGCTCGGCCCGCCGCCGACCGTCCAGCCGTATGCCGGTCTCGATCGATTCCCAGCCGCGATAACACAGGCGCCGAGTGTGCGCCGTTTAAGCCGCGCGCCGACCGCGCCAGAGACGCACGCGGCGTCGGCCTGCCCGGGCGCGACGCCGTCGACGGTGTCGACGGTGCCGACGCGGCAGTTGGGTCAGGCAGTGGAGGTGCGCTGCCTCTAAAGGCGGTGTTGTGCGTGAGCCGGGGCCGGGCGGAGCGCAGCCGACGGCTCGGACCATTGAGCGAGGTTTGTGTAAATGTTTACTCAGTGGAAGCTATAAACTACAGGTCTCTCTAGTGATCGGAGCGCTGCCGCGGTGGCTGGCGCGCTGTGAGAGGAGGTGAGAGGAGCTCGGTGAGAGGAGGTGAGCAGTGGTGCTGCTGCGCCAGTGGTGAGAAGGTGCAGGAAAGAGGAGGCCAGCAGTAGCACTAACTGGTGCCGAGTGGTGTTGCGAGAAGTTGAGCTAAGTGTGCGGCTCCCAGCCTGCCACCCAGTCCGTGGTGTAAAAGTCGCAGCGAGTGGTGAATCTCGAGTGCCTTCAGTGCAGGGAGAATGTGACGACTGCTGTGAGAGGTTTGTGGGGAAACAACACTCCAGTGCTGCTGAGTGTTGGGCGAACGGAGAGCCGAGTGTCAGGGAAGTGCAAGAGTGCCTTTGGAGTGCCCGCAGTGTGATTTGTGGTTGATATTTGCATCTATTTGGTGTGATAACGTGATAACACAGCTGTTGGTGTGAAAGAAAACCACTTGGTGGTGTGGTGACCATCTGTTGTCCACCCAGCCGGCCCTCGGCGGTGGAGGGTACCCTCTGGGCGGCGCTGCGGCGAGTGGACGACCGTAGCCGGACAGGGCCGGGGACCGGACGGAGGCAGCCGGCGGGTGGCCGGGGCGGCACGGCGTGCACGACCGGCCGCCAGTCGTAGTCCCGCGGTGAGCCGGAGCGCAGTGACGCGCGAACCCGCCCGCAGGCCGCCCGAGCGCCGTCCGTACCGCCCGCGTGCCGTGATCATCACCCCCCGGGCACATCAGACTCAATCTGACCAGTCAGGAACTCGAGGAGGTTTGAGGTAGCCAGTCGACCTATCTAGCTGTCGGTGACTCTTGACGTGCCCGTGACCTCCCGTGACGCGGCGACACGGCCAGGTCTGTGGTGGAGGAACTCGTGACCGGCGTCACGGCTAGCGCCAGTCTCGGCCGACGGGGGGCCTGCGCGAGCCCTCCGGGCGGCGCCATGAGGACCATTGAGGAGCGCGAGGACACTGCCAGCGAGGCCGACACGGCCGAGACACCGTTCCCGGCAGCACAGCCCATCAACTACGCCCAGCTGCTGCTCGAGAAACGAAAACGGTTTCGGAAGACCCTCAGCCTGCCGCAGATCATCGGCAGACCGTGAGTGGGCGTGGCCTAGAGCAGACAGGGGCGGAGCTTCCAGGAGACAAGTTTGGGGTGGGCCTTGTCATGGAATGTGGGAAAGCCTTTGGGATAGAAATATGTGGATGATGTAGTGTCCATTTCTCCCTAACAACCATGTTTTCTTCCCAATGTCTGACATGAAGTCATAAAATGCCATAAAATGATGTTATGAAATGCCGACCAAAGAAAAACTGAAAAACTGCAAATAAGGCAAAAAACTGCTGTAAAAGCCCTTCATTTAAAAATGAAACATGCAGAAAAGGATTTACTCCACCAAATCCATTAATGCTCACTTATTTTTTTCTGTATCTTGAACAGTTCTGGAGACCAAACACAATGGTATAGGTTTTGGAGCCAAAAATGTGTTACGGAATCGTTACCAGTTCAAGGGAAGTCGAAGAGGGAGAAAAATCGATTACGAAATGTAAACTGTTTATTCCGATGTGCTATATTCTGAACGTAAATGACTGAGGAGAATGGAGAATTACTGTAAAGAGCGTGACGACCAAGTGTAGGGGGAAAGAAGATACGGAGAAAAGTAGATTGATGCCCGTGAAAACGTTTTTGTGTCTACCCCTGCATGCAAGAAATATTCCACGATTTCTACTTAACGGTCGCGAGAAAAGCAGTCGCTTTCCTGTCGGATTGCATGTGGATGATTGAAAAAAAACACAGTCATGCAAAAACAGGGGCGAATCTTTACTGAGCTTGCATCCAGCTGTGCCCTGCTCACCGCAATTCGTGCTGAACTGATGCTGTTGTTGGTTTTCCTCCCATTTAACCAAGCCCTTAAAAACTTTGTTATTTTGGATGTTGAGGTACAGCTTGGCTTGGCCTGCATTCTTTGCGTAGCAGATCAAGCTAAAATAAATCCTTGCACGCTTTTCATGTTATAGCATCGGAGACATTTGCCAAATCATAGCTGAAAACATTTCATTTATTTGTTTTTCTTCCACGAGTCTTGCAATTTGCGGACTATTGCGTCGTATATGTCAGTCCAGTGCCAAAACATTCGAGCTTGTCGGTGTTTACATGCTTCACGTCCGACGAAAATGCACAAGAGCGTGCGTGCAATGGCACACAGCCATGTGCTTTGTTGAAGGCTGGGGCGGCCGACGGGGTAGTCGTAAAGCTTCTGTGCAATGGGGAAAACTCGAAAATAATTCCTAGGGGTCTGGCTAGTTTTGGCAGACAACCTTGATGCGTTCCGACTTCAAGGAATGCGCTTACGTGACGGTAGGTTTCCATCACGCGAGAATATAGCTGCACCTGACCTCGAGAATGCACATATCAATGAGACTCCACTACAGTTGAAACATTGGGAAAGTTCTGGTCAGCGGTCCACTTCCAGCGTAATTTCAATAACAACCTCCGTGTCCCTACAAAGGAAACTTTCCTGGCCTTCTCGCTGTTCTGGGTAGAAACATAACACGGCATTGGGACGCTGAGGGCGGCATGCAGGCTGTTTGCAGCTCCGAGTGGGCCTTCCATAAAGCATGCGGCTCCTGATGAGTGGATCCGATGAACCCATGGGCTTCCTGCACGGCCGACACAGCCCCAAGGTTGGAACGTGATTGCGCCCCATAGTTCAACAGCAGTTGGTGTACAAATGTTTGGAATTAACTATCAAACGCCTTCTAAATTAGGCCGTACCTGACTACTTCAGTTACGTAAAAGTAAAAGCAAATGAAATACATATTCAAAATGATCAGCTCGAATAGAGCTTATCCTTGATGTTCGGATGTCCTTCCCAATCACATGTCTTGATTGTCTAATCGTCGAACTTAACCGATCAGTTAATTAAGGTGGGCACTATCGCGTGACAGATCCCCATTCGCGGCATCCGGTGTGCTGTCTCTCCCGATGACGTTGCGCCTGAATCTATTGAGCTTTGACAAACTGCACTTAGACCTCAGTACGGAGCTGGTAAACAGCCAGAGGATCCAGGGTGGATCTCAGTTCCAGCATCGCCAGCGAGCATTGTCTAATGACCGCGCCGAATTCCTCAGTGGGTAAGCTGACACGCAATCCGTTCCCAAATGCTTGACACCATCTCAGCGCCGCCCAAAAGCTGCATGCGTGGAGCTCCTCGGCATATTTGGCATACTCCTCTCCATATCAAATATGGAGAGTGATTTTCGGTGTCGGACGATAATGAGGATCCGCGCACGGGTCTGTGTGCGTGTAGACGCACTCTCAATGTGGCCTAACGTCTGTGTGCGTGTAGACGCACTCTCAATGCGCCCTACCCCTGCTGAAGAATAGAGCACTGGCGGCAGGCACACACGCACACGCTCCGAATCATGCCGCCACCGTTTTTAAACGATGATTGTCTTACGAAATGTTACGCCCTGTGAATGTACGGTATATAAGTGATTATGTCTTACTTTTTAGTGATCATTTTGGGTGCGATGAAAGTGATAGGTGCATACCTAAAGATGCCGCGGACCGCTGGTATTGATTTAACGGATAAGTAGAAATATCGCTGTAATACGACGTTGGCTGCTTGATTAATAACTCTGTGATACTTTTTAACAGTGTCTAAAAAGTATACATGGCCACCCGATGTTCCTTCGATCGCATGCACGACATTGTCATTCTCGTGCATTGACCCGGATATCTAGCCAATGCTGCAAACGTTTGCAGCATGCAACTATCGAAGCAAGTCGATCAGAGGAACGCCCCTTAATTTTTATACCGTTGTGGTGCTGTATAAACTGAGCTGGATCGTTTTCACAGAAGCCGATAGGACGTATTCAATGTTTATTTTTTAACAGGAATTTCCAGCAATTCAGTGTCACAATAATTACATTTGAAGGCGAAGCCTCCTACGGCATTTGGTTAGCGTGTCGTATTAGAGCATTGAGTCTGCCATCACGCGGCTTATGCTCGTCAAACTTCAACTACGCAGGACTCATAACGCCGTCATCATTCCCTTGATATGCGCACTGAAAGTAATACCGGCAAATTGTGAGGAACTTTATGACCTTAGGCGATCATCGAGTTTGACGCGCTTGTTCTGATGAACTGGTATAAAGTTCGACGCTGGCTTTAATTGCTGTCAGTTGACCGCAATATTTTCCCATTACAAACAGTGCCGCGCTCAACTCAGCCACTATCACCTGCTGACGGGTATATCATTACGGCGCCGGGCCTGCAGGGCTCATCAGGTCATGGACCGGGTCAGGGGCTGGCCGGTGATTTCACAGATTTCACTCGGATCGGGGCTGCTGGTACCAGCATACACGGCCGCTAACTGGGCTGAACGCGATCCGCTTATCACTGCACTCGGCGAGATCATGGGTCGCTCTAGCCCCACACACACTGTATCGTCGCAGCAGTCGCGGACTAAGCCGATTTGCCCTGTGTGATCTGTTTCACTCCACGACCCCACCCTGTGCTAACAGCTTTGACTCTAAACAGCGCACTGACCCCTCTGCCGTGACCCCGCGTGACCCTAGAACGACCGGATAGCAAACCAAATCGGCCAAGGGTACGTTATGCAATATGCAGTGTGCTGACCGGAGCCACTAACCAACCGCCGCCGGTCTTTGGACCGTGAGAAGTATCAGTATGGACGATCGATGGTGATGTGGGACTGGTCCGTGACTCTGCCGCTATCACTTCCTCCGTGTCACGTGACGTGACACGTGACCGCTGAGGACGACTTTGAATGAGCACGAGACCACTTGCACATGGGTCTGTTTGGGTTTGTCTTCTACTGACCGTTTTAGTGACGCCACTCATTGTTTGGGCCACCGCTGCGAAGCATGGCATGATTTTATATGATAACGTTTATTTTGAGATTGATTGACCATAAAGGACTGGCACTCGATAAACGATAACAAACAAATGAACAAAAATAATGGCATAGAATCGCTCGCGTAGTTAGTTTATCCCATTTACGCCCTTCGTTGCGTTTTCGCAACGCAAGCAAGCGTCGACGTGATCGAAGCTTGAGAAGTATGTAAAAGAGACTAACCGATGAGACAAGTTTCAGCGTGTGTAGCATGGTTGTGCGCATGTTGCTACGCAGTTACAAGTCTGTGCGGCCGGTAAGTTACTGCCTAGAGCTCCCAGAGGGAAGTCGAAGGTTTTGTGAGTGATGACGTCACGAAAACCAAGATAAGTAGGCTAAGTGCCTAATAATATCATAATGAAAATTGTGTAAACATATTCTGCAGAGTCCCTACAATAGCGTAGATATGCATTTTGTTAAGAAATAATGCTACAAAAAGGGTTTGTGACTATTTTCAAATATGACTACGGTCGCGTTGCGGGAACGCAACGAAGGGCACATCGGAAAGACAGCGGTGTTGCGAAAACGCAACGATGGGCACATTAGCAGGGTAGCGGAAGTATTAATATCAACAATAGACTTCACTCGTGATACGCTGTGGGTTCTCTCTTTCTCTCCCCCATCTTCCTCCCTCTCCTCCTCGTTCCCCAACTCTCTCTCTCTCTCTCTCTCTCTCTCTCTCTCTCTCTCTCTCTCTCTCTCTCTCTCTCTCTCTCTCTCTCTCTCTCTCTCTCTCTCTCTCTCTCTCTCTCTCTCTCTCTCTCTCTCTCTCTCTCTCTCTCTCTCTCTCTCTCTCTCTCTCTCTCTCTCTCTCTCTCTCTCTCCTCTCTCTCTCTCTCTCTCTCCCTCTCTCTCTCTCTCTCTCTCTCTCTCTCTCTCTCTCTCTCTCTCTCTCTCTCTCTCTCTCTCTCTCTCTCTCTCTGTCTCTCTCTCATATTTTATAGCCATGAGGCTGTAGCAGCGGAACATCTTCAATTACGGGGGGGGGGCACTGCCGACTTTTGGTCCCATTCTTTCCATTTCCATTTCCATGCAACGCCTATAGAGATAATGTTAAAATGGCAAAATCAGGGGGCGTGGTGCCCCGGTGCCCCCCCCCCCCCCCGCTCCGCCGCCTATGCCATGAGGGAAGTGTATACTGTATAGGTATGTTTAGTGCAAGATGCGTTCGCACGTA